CTCTCTAAATTTGAAACTAAATTCTTAAAAAGGCTAACACGGATACTTACATGTATGAAGACACTCTGTAATGGTCGTGGCATCTATAAAATAACCTTTGCAGATGGAACACAAGATGTAAGGCGTCAACTCAGACAGGTTTATCATGCGCTATGAATACAATTGAAATTGTTTGAGAACACAGGTTAAAGCAATAGATTTCTCACTCCAGCTTCTGAAGTCTCACAACCTCAAGCCACATTAAGAATGGAAAGATGTGTGTCAATATGCAGCACCTGGATCTACACTGGATGGCCCTGAGCAGCAATAATACTTCAAATGCCGCTCTTTCCTAAAGGTTCCCATCTATTTTTCTGAATTGACCTTTCTGCAAACACAGCAATTCAATGTATTTCACGAATCACTTCTAAAATGCAAATTATAAACAGCTTCTTCAGGTGTACTGGACAACTCAGAGAATATGGCACTTTACCAGTATTAATGAAGTACAGGTTGGTAGCAAGCTAAAAATCTTTATCTGAGGAGTGTGCAATAGACTGTGTAATGGCCCTCAGTCCTGAATCATAGAATATCAGGGTTGGAAGGACCTCAGAAGGTCATCTAGTCCAGCTCCCTGCTCAAAGCAGGACCAATCCCCAACTAAATCAAGTTGAATCTGAGACAGTGCTGGCCTTTTGCTTCAACATGTATTTAGGTTCACATAAATACACATTAAGGCAGGGACTGCAATTATACTGCACTGGATTTTGACTAAAAAAAGCACATTTGCCAGGGAGGAACAAACCCACCAGCTCTTTTCTGGCCAAAATGCCTTTCCTTGATAGGACTGGTAGGGTGTCCATCCTGAAATGCAGACTTTTCAAGAGTGTACTTCACAATTTAAGGTGTAATGTTTAAATAAACTAACTCCTCCAATCTAGTCCAAGTCTCCTGCATCATCATTCACCTGCCCCCTTGCCCGCACCTAGTCATTCTGTGACCTCTGACCCACCATTATCCACAACTTTTCAAACACTTTCAACCTTATACCCACTTTCTGCCCTTTCCTCCCTCTCTTTCATGAAGATGTTCAATGTCTCCATTCCTTCTGCACTCTCCACCATCCTGATTCACTCCATTTCACCAACCTTTGGATACCCCCAATATCTGCTTTCTCTGGTTTTATTCCCAGGCTCTGAAAGTTTCTGAAGAAAGTCTCATGGTCACTCAAACTTCCTTCACTACAACATCATTCTACCCTCCTGCACTTCTGCCATCTTCCTTGTCAAATAGCATTAATTCTCCACTCACTGATTCCAAAGCCAGAAGGAACCGCTGTGATCATCTAGTCTGACTTCCCATATAACACAGGCCAGAGACTTACATGGTCATTGATTCCCATGCCTGATCCATCCTCCTTTGTCATGGCTGACAATGCCATCATCCTCTTGGTCACTCAAAACTTGGTCATCATCCAGAACTGCCTTCTCTCTAACTGCACACATCAAGGCTATACCAGAAGCTCACCTCTGCTTATTTTCTCTGTATACATTACTAAATCTCTCATCCAGGGCATTGTATCTTAGCTTAACTATTGCAACCTGACCCCTTCCCAGCTTCTGACATCCACCTGTTTCCCCCCACTATAAGCATGCTAAGTTCTGTCTTGATCCCAAGAGCCAAGCTATGCTGCACAATGAGAGCTCTAGTCTCACCTGGGCAGTCTCTCTGCACGAGGGCTTTGATGGAGATAAAATATTACATGTTGGGAACTGTTGTCAACATTGCCCTCAGGAGTAAGCCTATCTGTGCCAAAAATTAAAAATTCTGTGCCAAAAAATTAAAATCCCCCCCCCCCCCAATTAAAATTCTGCAAACTGTGTGTGTCAAATAAATGTGGAGGCTCCAGCATGGCATTGGGGCACACAGGACACTGGCTGCACAGAGGTGGGAGATAACTGTGCAACTCTCCCCCGCTTCCCCCGGACTCAGCAGTGAGGCTGCACCCAACCCTGACACAGTGGAAGGACGGGGCCTGCCCCAGAAACACCCCAGGGCCCTGCCCCTCCATGCCAGGTGCACCAGATAGACTCAGCAAGGCAGGATCCAAGTGTGGAGGGGCTTAGTGTGGAGGGATCCAGATGTGGGCTGAGAGGGTTCGGTGTTGGGCAATCTGGGTGCAGGCGGATCAGTGGGGCATCCAGATGTGGAGGGGATCTGGATGCACAGGGGCTTGTTGGAGGGTTCTGGGTGCAATGGTAATGGGACTCTGCAGGGGGGTCCAGGTGAAGGTGGTTGGGACTCAGCAGGAGGAGTGTGGGGGGAATAGAGCTCAGCAGAGGGGTCTGGGTGTGGGGGGCTCAGTGGGGGGGTCTAGCTGCTAGGAAGTGGTGCTCAGTGGAGTGGGGATCTAGGTGCAACTGGTTGGGGCTTGGTGGGGTGGGGACGTGGGTGGCTCATCGGGGTAGTCCAGTGCAGGGGGAGTGGGGCTCATTGGGGGGGTTCTGAATGCTGGGAGTGAGGCTCGGCAGGAGGGTTTGGGTATAGGGGATCTGGATGCAGGGGGTTGGGTGGATGGGGGAGCAGCTCCCTGTACATGGATCCTTCCCACTGAAGCGGGAGGGGTGGGGGGGCGGGAGAGAGTTTGCAGAGCTTCCTCCAGCCAGAGGAGAAATCTGGGGGTGGGTCTGACCCGGCCCTAGATGCCATGCAGGGGAAGAGAAGGTCCCGTCCTCCCCAGCTCACCCCGGACTAGCAGCTAAGCTCGGCACAGGTAGGAGCCACCAGCCGGGTCTTCCCCAGTTCTGCCTCCTGCCCCACAGTGATTTGCCTCTCTGCCGGCTGCCCTGAGCACCCAAAACATACTGCTGGGGAGGG